AAAAAAAAAAAAAAAAAAAAAAAAAAAAATGACCCTATGCACTGAGAGTATTTCCTCTTTATCTCCTACTTCCCTTTTCCAGTCACTCAGAAGTAAACTTATGTTTTATGGACTTCAGGACTGAACTTGAACTTGACTATAAGGAGAAAGTGAAGTGGCTGTCCAGGTGCTGCTCCTCTCCAGGCACTGATCGCCTCCATTCTGCCCCCAGATTGTCAACAAAGAGTGAGGAAAAAAGAGCTGAACACAGTTGGCTTCTCACCTGGAATGCCATCGTGTTGGCGATGATCAGGAAGAGGCGCAGGGGCAGCCGAGCTTTGTAACTTCGGTGACTCCACAGGCGATGGGCTCCTGCTGTGACGCCCAGGGCACTAATCAGATAGTAGAAAAACGCTGCCAGGAGAAGACAGGGCAGGGAGTCATTAATCTGGAAAAGCATTCACGTGATGTTCTCCTCAGGTCAGAGTCTGTGTGTTCTTTAGCCTCCCCGTGAGGATCTGCTTTTTCCTGAACTCCAGGGATACCTTGATCTCTTAGGCTCCTTTGATTTTATCACTTGAAAAATACCATCACCTCTCATCCTCTCAACCTAGGAGCTGGAATAAGCTTAGGAGTCCCAGGAACTTCAGAAAGGCAGGACAGAGAAGAGGGCTCTCACCCCCCAGCCACTTGGCATTCTCATTCGTGAAGGACACTCTCCCAGATCGCATCTCCTCTGACCTTCTGCTAACCTTCTCCAAGGTTTGAAGGACCGCAGACTACTCCTGCAGCGCTTAAGACACATAAGCAAGGATAGTATTAAATTATTTAACAGACAGTATGGTCTGGGCACTGACCAATTCAAGGGTCCCTGGGTTCTAGGGGACATTAAGGGGGCTCAGAACTAGGGCTATTTACCAGCTGGTACAAAAGCATTTCAATCTTTTTGCAGGTGGTGTGGCCATAGGAGGGGAAAATTCGCCCTGCATGTAAGTCATAGCTGCACAGCATCTTAAGCTTCGCCAAGGATTTTATATTCTCCGATTCACTGGATACCCTGAATGGGGTTTAATATCCTCACTTTGCAGTTGAAGAAATAGAAGCTCAGAGAAGTTAAGTGTTTATCTATCGTCACATGGCAAGTAAGAAATGGAGCCAAGATTTGAAACTAGATTTTCTGTCAATAAGCAGTTCATGTTCGGAAGTCTGGCACAAGGATGTGCACCATCCACCTCCCCAAGATAGGCACAAGGTTCCTGTGTCTCGCCTTTGCCATGTCCCTCCGCCAGCCCATACTCCCTCTGGCAAGGCTAATTCTAGATAATAACGGCACGGACTCAAAGCTGTGGGTGGAGCACCCCAGTGCTGTCCTGCCTCACCTTCCTGGAGGCCTGGAGGCTCCGGGGGTGCCAGACAGAGTCTCTAACTGGGAGGCGGGTTTCTTGGCATACCTACCTTCCTCTGTTCGGTAACTCTAGGAGGCAGGGGCTGAGGCCTTGGTAGAGCAGTGACTGTTGACAATGTTTCATTCCTAGGGAAGCAGCTAGAAACAATGGATCCTCAGTGGCCACTGAACTTAGTTGCAGTTGGAGACACCACACATTGTAACAGATCGTCCTGTGTTCTTCTTCAGCCATAGATACCAGTTTCCTAAACAAGCTCCTCCCACCCCACCCATCTTCCTCTACCCTATCGTGTTCCTCCTACAGGAAGGGGAGGAGAGCCATGGAGCTAGAGTCTGTCCCAGTGAGCGTTCTACCCACAGTCCCTCTGGGCTGAATTAAGGCCCCCTATGATTTGCTGGTCTCCGGCCACGTGGTAATATCCTCCCAGATGCAGTATCTTGTCTGCACCTGCACCTGGATAAATGACAGTTGAGCCACAGCCCGCCAGTCACTAAGGGTGAAGAAAAATGTCTTTGGGCACAAAAGAAGCACTCAGCTCAGAAGCAAGGAAGTTACTGGGGTTGTTTCATGCCACCAAAGACCCTGGTAAGTTGACTCAGAAAGCACATAAGATCCTTGCATTAACAAAGGAATTGGGAAAAGCACCCAAGCCCTCTGGTGCCTTTTTCTCTAAGGCTTATCTAATAGAAGGCCTTGCGTCAGTTGGAAATTCATTCTCTATTAAAGTCCAAATTGATGGTTAAGCAAAACCTCATAGCTCTAGTCCTAAGAAAGACTGGAGAAGTTTTGCCCCATGGCCTCTCAGTGTAGCCAGAGATATCTCTTCAGCCCTTCCCTCAGGGCTCTTCTGAGACACGCTCAAAATTGCTCAGTCATGAGAAATGCTGGAATCACAACCATCTGCTAATTTAACACTGTCCTTAGGGATAAAACAAGAAAAGGTGAAGCCAAGCTCCTGAACTCAGAAGGACCCTCTGACCCTCCCCCCAACCCCCTTTTGTTCCTTAAGAGTTCTGATATCCCCTACCAAATCGGTCATTCTGTCAGCTAAGCCATCCACCACAGGGCCCAGGGACAGGAGTAAAAACATCACAACTTATCCAGTCTTCGTGTGACACATTTCTCTGTCCAAAGGCACAGCACACACCCACGGGCAGGGCACCAAAAAGGTAACGGGCACGGCCCTGGTTTGGGGACAGCATTCTGCCCCCTGCACTAGCAGCCAAGGAAGAGGAGTGAGCAGCAGCGGTCTGGCCAAACTCTGGACTTTACGAGAGGCTTACAGGGAGACCTGAGGCTGGAAGGGGCTTGCAGGTGACTAAAACACCTGGTGAAGACTCCTCTGTTGGGGAGAAGGGGTAGAAAGAGGGGTCCACAGTCTCCCTGGGGAATCCTTGTCCCTGCTCTTGATTCCTCACTCTGTACTAAAGTTCTGCTGGGTTCTCAGAAGGGCTAGAGAACAGACGTCCCCCTCCCCTCACAAATACAAGAGCCCTTCCTGGTCTGCAGATTTCATCTGCATGTGGTCGGCCCCAGCAATGACACACGTGTAACTTAAGGAGCACTACCTTTCTAATCTCAAAAAAAGTACTGTTGTCCCCAGTGTGTATCTGGAAAAATTGAGAGAGGGGATCTACCCAGTTGCATTTCTCTGTCTGTGGCACCAAGAGGATTCCCCAAGACAAAGCTCCACGGACCTCTTTAGTCTAAAAGCATCTTTAGACTAAAGAGGTCCTGGAGGACTCGGCTGAGACCTGCCCACTGGCCCTACATAACTCCCCTCCAAGAGTGCAGCTGTCTGCAAGCGCCCCACACCCCGGGACTGCTCTGGAAATCCTACAGCTGCTTCCTGGAGAGGGAGTTCTGGCCCACTCCCCTCAGAGAGTGGCGATGTGGGTCCCCTGGGTCTTTAGGCTTCCCTGCTCTCCCCTTCCGAAGTCAGACTTAACGGTGGCAGAGGTGGGAATGCCCTCAGAGCGCATGTGTGTGTGCAGGGGGCAGGGCCCTGCTGTGCGCCCAAGCCCATGGATTCCTGAAAGAGCTGAGCTAAGGGCAGGGCAGGGATGCACTGGGGACTGTCTCCCTCACTGCAGCAGCCTGAAGGCCAGGGCTGCCCAGGCTCAGGGGGCTGGAGCAGGATGAGTGGGGAATGGGACATGAAACACTTCTTTAATCTTATCTCATTCTAAGAACATTTTGTTGAGTGGCTCGTGCAGTCCCCTGGAGACCTACATGGAGTCACAGAGCAGCAAATCTGTGTAACTTGGGTTATGCAGGAGACTTCCTCCCTTGTCTATGTGAGTAAGGCACCTGACAGGGCCAAGGGTCAGGGCAAAATAACTTTGTGGATGACCCACTGCTCTGTTCCTCCCTCTTCTACTAACTCTTCCTGAGTAGCTTCTCTCGCTACCCCATGACTGTGCTCAGCATATACCCTCTAAAGCCACTAGTCTAGTCCCATGTCCCCATGCCTCCCAGGTAGGGACCTTGATTCCTTCGTGGCTGGCTGGGCTGGGACAAGCAGTCAAGCAAAAGACTTGAAGCAGAAAACCTCTTCCCGGGAAAGCTGACTCTCTGGCACAGTTCTACTTACTTCAGAACCTGCGGCCCATGGTCTCAGAGGTCCCTCCCCAACACCCAAATTAAAGGACCCCCAGAACTGACACTCCTGCATCCCAAACCCCCTAGGCTCTGTTCCCAGCCCACCCAGCCTCTCAGGACACCAAAGAGAAATGGCTGGGAAAACCTCGGCCTGGAAGGGCTGGTGTTTCTGCTCTATGTAAGACCCTACTTTCTTAAGAGGGGAGAGAACCTGGGGTACTGGGTCAGGAGGACAGGGGGAACTCTTACCCCAGAGCAAGGTGTACATTTTGCAGGTGGGGATCCATGTGATCCCATACAGGGCTCCCAAGTGTAGCAGAGACATGAGGATGATGTTTCTCCAAACATACTCAAGCTTGGGATTTGGGCCCTCCTTATCCTGGTAGCTTGGGTCATAGATGTCATCTCTTATTTCAGGGCGGATGTCTTCTTCCAAGTATAAGGGAGTCTTCTCCAGCTTGCCCCCTCCATTCTGCAGGAGCCTGGAGGGAGGCGCTGTGATGGTGGTGGTGGTTGTGTAGGAGCTAGAGATCTGGAAGGGAGAGGAAGTGGAGGGTCAGGAGAGAGGAGAGGACACGTGGACGTAGTAGGGGCCACTTGCTAATCAAGCTGGGAGAAGGGCGGGGTATAGGCACAGACCTGGCCCCGACACCCACGTTACCTGAGGGCAAGGCCTATCCCAGATGGAAGAGAGGGAAGTCTCTGGGAACGGTGCAGAGAGATTGGGGAGGGGGGGGTGAAACCTCAAGGTGAAAGGGAAATAGGAAAGAGGAGTAAAACACTCGCACCCCAACGAACACACAAAGGCAAACCCGCACGCCTACATACGTGAGAGTACCGGCACAACCAGATTTTTCTTTAAGCTTAAAAAACAAAAGTTGGGGACCTAAGTTCCCAAATTACAATCCCCATTCCCAACAAACTGAAGGCAGTACAACTCGCAAAAGATGGCTGTTTGCAGAGATCTCAACTCTCTTCCCCCGCCGAGTCACTTAGAAGCCCGACCAGCGCCGGTGAACCCGCGGTCTGGGGGCCATTACTTGGAAGCTCACCTCCTCCTGCAGCAAGTGGGCCGGCATCTGGGCTCTCGGACGCTGGGATCACCTTCCCAGGGCTGAGACTGCGGAGCGGAGTTCGGGGCAGCCCGAACTGAGGGTAGATTAGTTCCCGAGGCCGCTTTTGCGCGGCGATCCGCGGCGCTGCGCTCGGAACCCTTTGCTGCACGGTGCGCGCTGGATCGGTGTGCGGACCCGACCTGCTGTGCGTGGATCTCCCCAGGCTGGTGATTTAAAGGCTAAAGCTGGCAGTGGGTGACCGGGTCCCGTATTTCCTCAGACCCTTTTATTCGTTGCCAACAAGGGGCAAAGTAAGCAGAGTTGTCTCACCGTGGGAGATCCGCATGGGCGGGAGAGGGGAGGAGACGCAAAAATTGGACGCTGCAGACACACCGCGGCTTGGCCGCCGCAGCTCCTGCCTCTGGCCCTGCCCCTGGGGAAATTCTAATGGGCTTCTGTAGACTCTGGCGCGTCATTGGCCGAAGGGAATTTGGTGCCACCTCGTCCTGCCGTTGCCATTGGCTCGGCGCAATCTGCTGTTTCCTCTGCCGCGAGCTCCTCACTCCCCCTCCCCTCCCTTTCTCCTTCTAGGCTTCTCTTCCACCGGCCGCTGGGCCTCTGCCCGGCACCCCGCCGCCTAGGAGGCGCTCGGAAGGGTCCTGTCTGGAAGAGGGAGAGGACCCGATCGGGGAACTGGGGAACGGGGGGTGGGTGCCAGCCCAGGACTGGCCCCGGGCACTTCGCGAATGGATGGGCACTGGGGAAGTTTCCCGGGGAGGAGTGGGGAAGCCACACGGGCGACCACTACCCACAACTGCACCCCCCGCCTTCCCGCTCGCCGAGACGCGTAGGAGCGGAGACTTGCTTTCAAGCCCGGGGTCGCGGGCCGCGGGCCCAGCGAAGCCCCGCCTCTCTCCGTGGCGAGAGCGCAGGGGGTGGGGTGGGGTGGGGGTCGGTCCACGGCGGAACAATGGTTCTGCCCCGCCTACCAGCGGCGCGGCGCTAACCCCGGACTGCTGAACTCGCGGGTCTCCAGCCTCGCGCACTCATAGATGCACTGATGTGTAAACCTGCACGTGCGCACGATGTTCAGCCACTGGGCACGCCCAGCAGGGGACGTTCACCGCCAGGCACCAGTGAGCTGTCCCATCCCTGTGCCCACGCCTCCAGAACGTGTGCGGGATGTTTTGGAGATTCTTCAGATTGTCGGGTTGTAGTTTTGGAATTGCCTTCATGGGGAAAGGCAGGAAGCACCAGACATGTGTTTTCACTCAGAAGCAAGAGAAAGTACTTGTAAGTGGAAGAAGAATAGCTAACGTGTAGTGAATGATTACTGCAAGACAACCCACAAGAATCATTTCATTTAATCCTTACTTGTGACCCTGTGAGGGGGGTAGTCCTTTATTCCCTTTTAAAGATGAGAAAACTGAGCTATGGAGAGATTAAATAACTTGTCTGTGGTCACAGCAGCCAGTAAGTGATGGAGCCATGAGTTGAGCCCAGAAATGTAATGATGGAGCCCAAGGTCATAATCCCTACTTAGAATCCTTGGTCCCTGAGATGTTCTGACTTCATTTGTCCCTCATGGCCCTGTCTTTTCTGGGCCTGTGGGAGCCTTACCATGGGAGTAAGCTGGGAACCAGGCAGGCTGTGCATTCTCCCAGCCTCTGCCACACCCCTGCCTCCCCAAATACTATCCCAGGATCCTTCCTCTGGGAAGAGGAGAAAGTGAGGAGTTTTGTGCCAACCACTAACTTCTCAGGAAGAGAGGCACCCAGGTGCCTGGGAGGAGGGCTAAGGAGCTCCCTAGTGGGCCACTGGTCTTGGGGTCAGGCCAGCTCCCTGGCCCGTCACCATCCACCTCTATTCCGGTCCTGGCTCCCTGTCTAGGACAAAAGTTTTGAATGAGATTAGATGTCTTCAGTTATGGACAGCTGTCTCGTCATGGCTCAGAAGCCCTCAGCAGGTGTGTGGGGAGAAGTCTATGCACATGCTGCTCCTCTCCAGGCTCTCCCTGCAATGTCTAGTTTGCTTAATTCCTCTGCTGTCTACAGGGTTATTCTTCAAGGGAGAAGATTCAGGGTTTCTTTGGGGGTGTACCCTCGATTGTGGCCAAAGGTGGCTCTACCATTGAGACCAGCTTTCTTTCTCTTTAACTGCCTGTTTCCTCCAGACCCTGGACTTCAGCAGAGAACAAGCTGAAAAATCAGAGTTCCCTGGAAACTGCCCTCCTCCTCATTTAGACTCAGGTAGGTATTACTGCTGTTATCACTTAATGCTGGTATTATTATGTAAGCCAGGTGGTAGGTCATTCATTTTTCTGCCAGAGAAAGGAAGAAGAGGCCTGCCAAGACAAAAATGGAGAACAGGAATATTTTATTCCTCTCTGAAGACAAGATGCTACCCTTGTCCCAAAGAGGGAACCTTTGGGAGCCTAGGGAAGGTCCGGATAAGGAGAGAGTTTGGGAGAGCCCATCTCACTCTTGATAACTATGATAGAAAGGTGAATGGTTCCCTAGCTTGGGCTTCCTCCTTGAAGTTCATCTGGGGCATATCACATGGTTATGAGTGTGTCACCCATTACTTTAAAACCCTCAGTAGCTTACCACAGCCCATGAAACATGGCTGTGTGGTAGGAGTAATATTATGGGGAAAGCATGAGCTTTAACGTTTTTTTATTTTAGATTTTTTGGCCGCGTCGCGTGGCATGTGGGATCTTAGTTCCCTGACCAGGGACTGAACCCGCACCCCCTGCACTGGAAACTCAGAGTCTTAACCACTGGACCACCAGGGAAGTCCCAGCATGAGCTTTGATATCAAGAAGTATTAGGTCAATGGCAAATTAGAAGTTATAAATAAGTATGTGATTAATATCCATATCCAGTTGCATTTATACATTGATTAAGAAGATAGATATTTTAGCATATAATAGGAAAGTATAAAGTATGCTTGGGAGATGGAAATTGGACCTATAAATCCTGCTCTACAAAAAGGGGCACAGGGTACCATGGCAGTTTCTGAACTTTGTTTTGATTTTTCAACTCAAGAGATGAAGAAGAAACAGACCCTGTTTAGCTCTCTTAGGTAAATAAGATGTCATTAGCAAGAAGTCACAGATAACAGTCTCTCTTTTCTTCAGCCCTTCTCAAGTGTTCCTGGATCTGGTCTTATAAGCCAAGAACATCTACAAAAAGGCTGCAGCTAATATTATACTTAATGGTGAAATATTTAAAAATTATTCCCCTAAAATAGGGGAACAGGCAAGCATATAATCTCTTGCCACTTCTATTCAACATTGTACTAGAAATCCTAGCTAGCATAATGGGCAAGAAAAAGAAATAAAAGGCATAAAGATAGGGAGAAAAAAAAGTAAAACTGTTATTATTTGCAGAAGACATAACTTGTGTATGAAAAATGTATGGAATACACACACACAAAAAGCCCAAATCAGTGAGTGACTTTAGAAAGGTCAAGGGTAGAAAGTCAATATAAAAAATTATTCCATCCTGTATACTATTTAAAAACAATTGGAGAATGAAAATTGAAATATACTGTTTACAATAGCATCAAAAATATCACATACAAAGGATAAATCTAACTAAATATTTGCTGGATAGCTACACTGAAAATGACAAAACGTTGCTGAGAGGAACTTAAAAATTCTTAAAGAAATGGAGACAAAATAGAAATTGAGACATACTGTGTTCATAGATGGTTAGACTCAATGTTGATCTATAGATTAATTTAATCCCTATAAAAATCCAACAGATTTCTTTGAGGAAGTAGACAAGCTGATTCTAAAATTTAAGTGGAAATGCAGAAAGGGTCCAGAGTAGCCAAAAACAATCTTGGAGGAATTAAACTATTTTAATTAGGACTTACTATAAGGCTAGAGTATTCAAGGGAGTGTGGAGTTAGAAAAAGTAGAGACAAATAGATCAATGAAATAAATTAGAAATTTTGAATTCCACCAACACATATATGGTTAACTGACTTTTTACAACGGTCAACACAGTCAATACAGTGTGGAGGGGAAAGTCTCTTTAACAAGTATTGCTGGAACAACTGGATATCCATATAAAATAAATGAACCTCAACCTCTAGCTCACTCCACACACAAAAATTAATTTGAGAGGGGACATAGAGCTAAATGTAAAACCCACAACCATAAAGTTTCTGTTGGGTTGGCCAGAGAGTTCCTGCGGCTTTTAAGTAAAAATAAAAGACACGTTTTTCATTTTCACCAAGAACTTTATCGAACAACGTATTCACTGTTTTGTTCCACTACCTTCTGCCATTTTCCAGGCAACTTCATAATTCCATCTTCCTAAAACTTTTTGTCTTTTTGAGCAAAGAACTGTCCCAGGTGCCTTTTACAGTCTTGAAGGGAATTGAAACTTTTTCCGTTAAGAGAATTTTGTAAAGAGTGAAATAAATGGAAATCCAAAGGTGCAATGTCTGGTGAATACGGCAGATGAATCAGAACTTGCCAGGCAAGCTGTAACAGTTTTTGCCTGGTCATCAAAGAAACATGCGGTCTTGCATTATCCTGATGGAAGATTATGTGTTTTCTCTTGACTAACTCTGGACGCTTTTCATCGAGGGCCACTTTCAGTTGGTCTGATTGGGAGCAGTACTTGTTGGAATTAATCATTTGGTTTTCCGGGAGGAGATCATAATAGAGGAGTCCCTTCCAATCCCACCATATACACAACATCACCTTCTTTGGATGAAGACTGGCCTTTGGTGTGGTTGGTGGTGGTTCATTTCGCTTACCCCATGATATCTTCCTTTCCACATTATTGTACAATATCCACTTTTCATTGCCCGTCACAATTTGTTTTAAAAATGGAACGTTTTCATTATGTTTCAGTAGAGAATCGCATGCAGAAATACGGTCAAGAAAGTTTTTTTCTGCTTAACTTATGTGGAACCTAAACATCAAAGCGATTAACATAACCAAGCTGGTGCAAATGATTTTCAACGCTTGATTTGGATATTTTGAGTTTGTTGGCTATCTCCTGCGTGGTTTAACATTGATTGTTCTCAATGTCTCAATTTGGTCTCTATTAACTGGTCTACCTGACCGTGGAGCATCGTCCAGAGAGAAATCTCCAGCACGAAACTTCACAAACCACTTTGACATGTTCGATCAGTCACAGCACCTTCTCCATACACTGCACAAATCTTTTTGTGTGTGTGTTTCAGT